TGATTTGCATTTTAATTAATTTGAGCCTGAATTACCTCAATTTCGAGGAAATCTCCCAGATCGGTGACAGTATCGATGTGGACTCTGGACTGGCCTACCATGTACAGGTGCCTGATCTTCTCCACAACTCCAGATATTCCATTTATCTTCTTCAAGATACTCTTCATCTCGTCGCATCCTTTTTTACTAGCTAATTCCACTAGAGAATAGTCTGAGAGTTTTGGTCCTTCTGTGTCAGAACGTTCGTAATAAACGAGTACGCCAGTGTCATTCTGCAATTAATGATACGATTTGATTATTTTTCATGGGTTCATCCCTATTATTTTCTCATTTCTAATAACCTCAAAGCATCGGAGCTTCAGGCGCCCTTGAGGACTCTTGAAAAATGTATCCGTTTGTCGAATAATTTCTCCATCGCTGTTACTTAATTTTTTGGCCCTTGAATGGGCTGCCTCTGGGTCCTTCAACACAGCTTTGATCTCAATATTCCTCGACATAATTGAATTGACAAATTAAAGTAACACAACAAGTGGTCACCAACCGGCTTTTTCTAGTTATAAAATTAAATCTATATTAGGGAGAGTTCATAGTAAAAACCCCCAAGGAATCCACTAGAAATTTGAATTTGGAATAATTCTCTTATCGATAATTTATTTCTAAACAATTCTGGGGAATCGAAATCTTAACCCGAAGTTGAACTGTGAATAATAATTCAATGAGTTATAAAAACTAGCATACCGTGTTATCGATGCATTCATTATTTTTTCATGAAAAATTCTGAAACATGATCCGGTTTAATATGAAACTTACTCATTTTTCGAAATTTTCCCTTACGCGGTAACGAGAAACCATGAGCATTCGTCTGAATGCGTGCCTTATCTCTATAATACCCTCGATGTACATGTGCACTGGTATATGGCAAATTATTACGTAGTGACTGTTTGCATTGTGCACTCGGGTTTCGACTACTGGTAACTCAACGAGCTAACCAGCTTGAACATTCAATACGCCATCAGACACCGAAGTGACAAGATGTATCCAATTATTTGTGCTCTTCTTGTGTGCCTCTCAGTGCTCACCAGTGCTGCAGACTTCAGAGATTGCGGTAAGTAATTAATTAACTATTGACAACTTCTATTTTTACATTATTTGAATATCTCTTAATATTTGATTAGAAATATTTCTATTTTTCTTTCGAAATCATCCCCAGATATGCACGACAAAATTTAGTGGATGGCACGAAACATTGAAATTAATTTTTTATTTACTTTCAATATTAACTCCCGGACTATTAATTTTCCTTTTTTAATCCCCTCATCCGCCACGGTTATCGGTATAACTTGAGATTTCCCTGGCTCTGTATTTTTTCGCGTAGGCAGATAATGGCGAAAGAAATTAGACGATTATATGAATTATTTAATGAGTAAATGTATCACGCGCGTGTTCGTAAACTACATTTCGAATGTCTTTTGACGAGACAAAATTTAGAGAATTAATCTTGAAAGAAAATTGTAACTTCAATAGCAATTTATTACATGAAAAAAAAGTCGTGGGAAGGAAATGACGAATCTGACTAATCTGGTTAGTCTTTCGCTTGAAAAAACCGCTCTACATCGTATTTTATATCTCATGGAATGATTCATCTTGTCAAAAGACATAATTCGAAGTTATATCTACTTAGAATGAGTAACAATT